AGAGCTCAAATACTTGGGTTAGGTTCTGGAAAGCCTCTATTTATCTGTCAGGGCCATCTAAAAACTTGCCAAGATCTCCCTTAATTTGACTGGAAACTGCCTAAAATGAGGATTTCTAGGCTGGGGAAAGATTGAGAGAGAACCTGGATAGGGAGGAGCGAAGGGTTTGATTCCTCCACTGGAGGTGCCTCTGGGGTTTGCTTCTCTATTTCCCTGGGATTGCCTCTTGCAGCCTCTCCTGAGACAGCCACTACGAGGGCTGGATCAATCCTACAACAGAGGTAAAGGTCCAAGTTACCCTGCAAAGCAAAGAAAGCCTGCACACACGAGGCCTCAGACCACTGGCCCTCACGTTTACAGAAAAGCTTCCTCCCGAGACCATGCTTCTCTTCTGGGTCTCAAGGTGTTTGGCACCAAGTTGGCGGCCAAGGAAATAACAAGATTATTTTTGCCACAAATTTATGTACAGATACCAAGGCACACTTAGCTTCATCTGTGCTATTCTTAACCTTCCATTTTACAGTTTTGATGACTCAGCCAAATGCTCATTCTACCCAGTAATATTTCTGGTTTGCAACAACATCCTTAACATTTAACATCATACATAAAGAAGAGATAGGAACCATGACAGTCACAAAAGAAAGAAAGAAAAGAACGATGGGAAAGAGTGGAGGTCCTTGTGCCAACACCCTCATGGGAGACCTGGGACTGGAGTCAGTCCAGGGGCCTTTGGATAACACCAAGGGGTAACCTCAGCCAGATACCCCCAGTTGCCCTAGGACCTCCTTCTGGTCCCACGTGACAGCTAGACTTCCATGAAGGAAAACTGGGTTGGAACAAAGCCAACATTCCCAACACCTGAGGGTGATGGGCGCTTGACAGTGTCCTCCCCAGCAAGCCTGGCCCCCATGTGTTGAGTCTGGCACTTGGAGACTAGTCGTCACGTTTAGCTGATTGATAGCGGCCTGGTATTTTTCTTTCATTTCAGCTGTTGTGGAGTTTAGGAACCACAAAGAAAGGACAGAAAGAGAAGATCCACTTTTGCTCACCCTTCCACAGATCCCAGACGAGCCCCCAAAAATGTTATGGGATATTTGGGGTGTTGCTATTCTGACCAGAAACCTCTGTGGCTGGGAGCACCTTTGCCCAAGTTCTTGTCCTGTGTCCAGGAAGAATGAGGTACATAGACAAGTGGAGGGTGAGCAAGGCAAAAAGGAGCTTTATTGAGTGTTAGAACAGCTCAGAGGCTCTCAGCAGAGAGGAGGCTGGGAGTAAGTGGCTCCTCTCTGCAGCTGGTCATCCCAACGAGTGTTCAGCCCTCAGCAGGGAGGGCAGCTCCTCTCTGTAGCTGGTCATCCCAACGAGTGTTCAGCCCTCAGCAGAGAGGGCAGCTCCTCTCTGCAGTTGGTCAACTCAATGCCTGCAGCTCTCAGCAGAGAGGAAGCCCTAGAGAGGGCAGCACCTCTCTGCAGCTGGCCATCCTGTCCCTTCCGTCCTCCTCTCCACTCTGGCTGAACCCGGGGCTTTTATGGGCCTCAGAGGGGAGGAAATTCGTGCCTACTGGTTCATGGGCAGCCATGGGTGGGCCCGGAAAAGGCACCACAAGTCCCCACTCTGGTCCTCGGGAGTGTCAGCGTGGCCCCCAGCCTTCAGGCCCACCCTGGCTTGAAGGTGGAGCCTCACCAGGGACTTGCCTCTTGCCTCCCAGGAGCCTGTCTGCCTCCCACTGCCGTCCATGGTGCCCAGGCTGCTCGTGCCAAGGGATGCCCACAGGCCAGCACTGAGCTGCCCCCAGCCCCATCTTGGCCTCCCTCCCACACTCATTGGTGCCCAAAGTCTGGAGGGGCTGAGATGGCAGGGGACTGGTGTGTCAGCACTGCTCTGAGGGTGCACACCTGGCTGGGCTGCAACAGCACCCGGGCTTGGTCCCAACCCCACTCCAAGATCAGGGTGGGTGCCAGGAGCAGGGACACCCCCAAGTCTGTGGTGTTAGGGGGTCCTCCCTGGTCCCCAAGACCAGCAGGAGGCCTGGGCCCACAGCTGCAACCTGGACGGCTGTGGTTGCACCTGCAGTGCTCCCACCCTGCACAAATAAACCCAATGCTTCCAGGGCTGGTTCCATGAATCCTGGCTGTGCCTTCAGCCGGGTGCTCATGGGCTCCCGGGACACGGCAGGAAGTGAGGTTGAGGCGGCTGTGGGGGCTCCAGGCCTGGGAGTGGGTCTTGCCCAGCCGTGCGAGGGTGGAGGTGGCACAGTAGGCAGCCTTGGGGACGTGGGGCACAGGGGACCTACTGCTGCCACTGCTGCTCCTGCAGCCATCCTGCTGCCCTGTCCATCTCCTTGCAGCCTGGGGTGAAGGCTTTAGGCCGTCACAGTCCCCGGGCCGGCATCCGGGGCACAGGGAGGCGATGTCACTGTGAGTTCCCCCTGTAGTTCCAACACTCAGGGGCAGCCTGGGGCACCCCCCTCGCCCGACTCACAACCATGCCGGAGGAAGCCTCTGGGAGCGGATTGTGGGCCCTGGCTCCAACTACAGGGAGCGCCAGACTCCGCAGTGAGGGCAGGAGCAGGTACTTCCGAGCCCACAGGGAGTTGGGGGGGGCTTCTTGGGCCCCAAAGAGCACAGGAATGTTGAGGTGCACGCAAATGAACCCAGTGCCCGGGAGGGCCGGGTTCCTGCCTGCCCCATGGAGTGGGAGGCCCAGCCATGCCTCCCCGCTGCGGCCAGCATCTTGGCATCGGCCATTCTAGATGGGCCACTGCTGCCATCATTCCTGCCTCAGCCTTTCAAAGTGCTGAGATTACAGGTTTGAGCCACTATGCCCGGCCTTATCATTGATTTTTAAGAAATTTCTTCAAAGGCTGCCGCTGAACCCTGTCCTCCCCTGCCTGTGTCCTCGGCCACCTTCACCTTCTCAGACCTGGTCTTTCTGAGTACCCTGCTCAGAAACGCAGTCACACTCACATGGGCTGTTGCCTTCCCGGGCTTCCTTTCCCTCCGCTGCCCTTGCTGCCAGCCGGTATACCAGGTGTTTTATTGATGGCATCGTCGTGCCCCACCCCCCCGTGTTAGAATGTAAGATCCTTGGGGGCAGCGGTTTTTGTCTGTTCCGTCCCCTGCCTTTTCCTCAGTGCGTGACGTGTAGTGAGTGTGCAATGAATCATTGCCAAATGGATTAAACGATGGTGTGAATCGTCCAGATTACATGGAATTTTGACTTGTTTTCCGAGGTTAATTCTCTTTCTGATGTGCGGGCTTCCCCCGCCTGTGGTTTACGCTTCTTCTCTCCTTTTCTCATTTTCTTGGGGTAGCATGGATCATTAAATCCAAGGCTAGTTCTTCTCTTGCTGTGAAACATTTGTGAGTGGGGACAATTCCATCTGAACTAGATACACAGGGATCAGTGGGCAGGACAGCTGGTCATCACATGGCTTCTGGGTGTGTGTGACCAGCCATGTCCTCTGCCCTGCGGGCACTTCTCCCCTATGGACCAGCGGGACCTGTGAAACCCACACCAGGTGACTGGATGCCGCTCTGGTCAATGGCTGGTCCACCTGGTTCCTCCTTCAGCTCCACCTCCCAGCTGCCCTATGTGCATGGTGAGCGGTGACCTCAGGACACATCTTCAGAGGACAATTCTGGCTGCTGGGCGTATGAGCCATTCCACCCAGTGTGAACGAGGAGGTAGAAAGAAGAGTGCCCACTCAAGATGTGCCTGTTCTAGTCCCAGAACCTGTGACTGTTACCTTCACGGCAAAGGACTTTGCAGATGTGACCCAGTGAGGGACATGATGGTTACTGTGGGTTTGCTGGGAGGGCCCAGTGTAATTACACGGAGCCTTACAAGAGAAGGCAGCAGGGTCAGAGTCACAGGAGGAGATGAGACAGAGGGAGAGAGAGGAAGTGCGAGAGAGGAAGAGGCCAAGCTGCTGAAATCCAGGTGGCCTGGAGAAGCTGGAGAAGGCATGGACACAGACTCACACCTAAGTCTCCAGAGGGAACCAGCCCTGCTGACACCTTAATTTTGGCCTTTTTTTTTTTTTTTTCCGAGACAGGGCCTTGCCCTGTTACCCACGCTGGAGTGCAGTGGTGCAATCACAGCTCATTGCAGCCCAGACCTCCCGGGCTCAGGTGATCCTCCTGCCTCAACCTTCCAAGTACCTGGGACTACAGGTGCACACCACTGTGTCTGGGGATCCGGCTGCTTTAGCCTCCCAAAGTGCTGTGATTACGGGCGTAAGTCACTGTGCCAGCCTTAATTTTAGGACTTTTTATCTCCAGAACTGTAAGATAATAAATTTTTTTAAGCCACTACACTTGTGCCAATTCGCTACAGCAGCCATAAGGAACTTACACGGCCACTCGGTGCCTGGCAGAGTACAGCCTCCCTCCTGTGACCCAGCCCAGGCCAGGACCGAGCTGGACCCACAGGCAGAGAGGAGACAAGGCAGGAGTGGGCTTCGACCAGCCTCTGAGTCAGTCCTTCTCTGGTGCCCTGCTGACCCTGACCTTGGAGGTACCAAAGTCATACAGGCCCCCTGATTATGGCTTCACTGGCTCAAGTTGGGTTTCTGTTTCTGGCAACCCCAAGTTTTGCCTGATCACCCCCAGCCCCAGCACAAGACATGCCCCACCTGGGTGCAGACAGCTCCTCCACCCTAGAGGAGGCTGGGGTGGGACTGACACCCGATTCTGTTTGCAGAATGGGGCACTGTGGCGGTGACTGCTCATTCCTCGCCCCAGTGTGGGGGGGCCCTGTGCTGTCTATGTCTGTTATCGGCGGGCACAGACCCCACAGACACAGGGCGGGAGGAAGAAGTCGGAAGCCCCTCCCCACAGGGCCGGGCACTGAACCTCACAGGCAGGAAGGGGAAAGTGGTCTTAGGGGTGGGAGAAGCCGGGGTCTGGAAGGGCTGCCGCTGGAAGTCAGGAGGTCATGCTCAGGGTCCCCCAGCGGTGAGGACTCCACCTCTCAAGAGAACAGGCACAGAGGACAAGTCAGAACTAAAAAAAATATTTCATTTCATTCTGAATAAAAAACAGAACAGACAGAACTCTTGGAAATCCTGAAAACAATGTCGTCGCTACAGCAAAATTTCACAGAAATCATCGCAGAGTGGGGACCAAGGCCAGGCCCTGACCCGCTGTGAAGGCTGCCTCTCCAGGGAGGGGCATGACGCCGGGGCCCAGTGGGCCAGAGAGGAACAGGCACAGGTGGTGGCTGTGCCCCTCTGACCAGCCCTGCCGGGTCCCTCGGGACCAAGCTCAAAGCCCAGCCCCCAGCAGCTGCCTCCGGACTCCCACCGGGGCTGGGAGGGGCTGCCCGTCCTCAGGACACCCCCGTGTGAGAGCCCTTCCTGCTGCGGACGCTCCACATGCCCCTCTTGGAGTGGTAGTGGTGGTAGAAGTTCCGCAGCCGGAGTCGCTCCACCTCCAGCCCTGCCTGCAGGACCCTGGGGGCAGAGAGAGGAGAGGTGATCAGGACTAAGGGCAGGGGGAAGAGAGAGAGGTGGTCAGGACCCAGGGGCCAGGGGCAGAGAGAGGTGATCAGGACTCAGGGCAGGGGGCAGAGAGAGAGGTGGTCGGGACCCCGGGGCAGAGAGAGAGGTGGTCGGGACCCCGGGGCCGGGGGCAGAGAGAGAGGCGGTCAGGACCCTGGGGCCGGGGGCAGAGAGGTGGTCGGGACCCCAGGGCCGGGGGCAGAGAGAGGCGGTCGGGACCCCGGGGCTGGGGGCAGAGAGGTGGTAGGGACCCCAGGGCCGGGGGCAGAGAGAGAGGTGGTCGGGACCCCGGGGCCGGGGGCAGAGAGGTGGTCGGGACTCCGGGGCCGGGGACAGAGAGGTGGTCGGGACCCCGGGGCCAGGGGCAGACAGAGAGGTGGTCGGGACCCCGGGGCCGGGGGCAGAGAGAGGAGAGGTGATCAGGACCCTGGTCCAGGGACTGGGGGTGTCAGGGCTGCCTCCAGCCTCCAGGGCCCTAGTGGGAGGTTGGGGACTCAGGGCCACCCAAGGCCTACAGGATCGGGGGCAGAGCTGGTTCAGGGATGTCCCTGAGCTTGCAGGACCCTGGGGGTGGGACAGGGTCTCAGGAGTGATTCGGGTGGAGGGGGTCTCTCTGAGCCTGCAGGATACTGGGAAGATGGGGAAGGGTAGAGTTCTCTCAGCATGTGGGCACCATTTTCCTCATTCCGAGGAGGACGCAGGGGTCAGGGGAGTGGGAGGCGGTCACCTGTCCAGGAGCTCCCAGTCTTCACCCCCCCACTGGTCTCGGAACTCTTCCGTATTCATGCCTCCGACCCGGTCAAAGTCCGACTTGTAGATCCCAAAAAGGCCAAAGCCGTTCACCTCCCAGTAACCTGGGGCGGGAGGGTGAGGAGTGCTGCCCTTCAGACCAGGTCCTGCAAGGCCTCCCCGCATAGGGCGGCCAGGAGACCTCGGGAGGGCCTCAGGGGCAGGGTCCCATCACCATGGGGGCTTCCGGGGGTGCCCGGTAATGACCCTGGAGCGCGGTGCATAAACGCAGGATACTGCAGGAGGTCCCCGGGGACCCCCGCATGGCCCTGGGTGTGCTGGTGCCGGGGGACTGGGGCTCTGGGCTCTACGGGGAGCACTGATGGACTCCCAGGCCTCCCCTGGGGACTGAGAGGCCCCGGGTTCCTGGGCGTTACCGTGGCGGTTGGTGGGAACCTTGCCATCACAGGGTGGGGCGCTTGGGGCCTCACCGTGGGGGTCCCGGGGCGAGCTCCCGCAGCTCAGACGCATGACCACCGGCGCGAAGGCCAGCCTGCCCTCCACGCAGTGCTTGCGGATGCCGTCCAGGATGTTGGGTGGGAAGTGGATGTGCAGGTCGCAGAGGAACACGATGCTGCTGGCGTCCTGGGGGGTGCGGGAGGTCTGAGCCCCGCCCTCCGCTCCTCCCCGGATACGCCCCGTTTTGCTCCCCGACCCCCATCTGGCCCTCGGACCTCCACCGCGTCCACTCCCGCCTGCAGCCCGGCGGAGCGCTCGAAGTTCCCGGTTCGTCTCAGGTACTGGTACCTGGGGAGGAGGAGTCACAGGCACGATCTCTGGGGATGGGGTCAGGGAAACCCACCTCCTGGGGAGGAAAGGTGCGCTGGGTCCGCCCAGGTGGAAGTAGGGGCCGTTTACCGGGGCAGGCGCGCAGTGCGCAGGGCCCGCTCCACGTCCATATCCTCGCTCTCGAAATCCACCAGGACGACGCTGAAACGCGAGTCCCCGGTGCGCGCGTGCAGCGCAGCCATGTCCGCCAGGAACTGCGCCACCCACCGCGCCTGATTTTTCACTGGAGGAGAAATGGGGGGCGGGGCGCTGAGCCGACCCTGACTGTATGCTGGGGCCTCCCAGCTCCGAAGAACCTCATCCCGGACACCCACACCCTTTCCTAGTCATTAGGGTCCACATTCCTCCCACGCGGTCTCCCGGAGACCCCCGAGCCCGCCCTGCGCACCTGGCACGATGAAGTGAACCATCACGTCCTGCCGCCAGGCCAGGCGCAGTGGCCGGCAGAGCTCGGGGCGGCCATCGGGGCGCACAGAGGCCGGGGGAGCGGGCTCGGGACTTCCTCTGTCTGCATCCCCCACGTGGGCTCCTGGCAGCCGCAGGAAGACGTACTCGGAGAGTCGCAGGCGGCCTCCCCCGCGCTCCTGCAGCTCCAGCTCCAGCAGGAAGCGACTCCCTCGCGCCGAGTCCCGGCGCTTCTCCACGTTCACGATGCGTAGAAGCGCGAAGCGCCTGCAAGGCTGGGTGGTCAGCCGGTAGGAAGGCTTCCAGGCTGCACCCCACCCGCAACCCTGGGCCGCCCTGGCCACAGAAACTCAGCTGACTTGGAGTTGCGGGAGGCTGCGGGCTCCGCGGCACAGCTTCTGCCCCTCCAGGCAGGCCCAGCAGGCAGGTCCACCTTCCAGCCACCCCTCCAGGGTCGGGGCAGGACTGGGGGCACACCAGCGAGCCCAGGCCCATCCTCACCCCCTCGCGGGCCTCCTGGCCACCATGCACGTCCCAGGTGACATTTATGACATGTCCAGCTGTCCTGTTACCCCCTTGCTCAGAAACCTTCAGGAGTTGGCCACCGCCCATGGGACAAGGTTCAAACGGCTTCTATGGCATTCTAGGACCTTAAGCAGTTTCGAATTTGTGGCCTTCAATCTTCCCCTCCTACTGGGGTAGCAGACTCCTCCTCAGGCACAGCCACTGTCTCCTCTCCTTTTCCTGAGGAGTCCCCTGCCTGGGATATTTGCCCCAGCCCTCCCAGCCACTCCTCTTCCAGGCCCTGGGTCACCTCTTCTGAGAAGCTCCCCCCCACCCCACCGTGCCTTCACAGAACCCCTTTCCCCCAGGCAGCAGCTCTGGGCCTGTCCTGATCCCCGAGTGGAGGAGGCTTCAATGCTGGGAGCCTGTTCCCGGCCCCTTCCTCCTCATTCTGCCCAGCCGAGAACCTCAGTTTCCCTCCACTTTGCTCTCCTCATCTGGAGAAAATAGGATCCTGCCCTAGACGACGCTTTCTCTTCAGTCGGCCTCACATCCTCCCTTGGCAGTCTGTGCCCTTCACCGGGGGACGCCCACCTGGGTGCCGAGGGGTCCGAGGCCTCCCTCCAATTCCTGTCCTTCCCCACCCCAAAGCCCTGAGTGTCAGAGACCTCCTGCCCCAAATGCTCTTGGTCTCTCTACACTGTTGCTCCATGAGCCACACCCAAGTGGGCAAAGGTGGGACCACAACAATGACCATCCCATGAGGCCTCCATGGCATGACGAGCTGCTCTCAGGAAGCTTAGAGCCAGGGGCAGGCGTGCCCTCTGAGCCACCTTGAATCCAGCACCCACCCCCCAGGGCTCCAGGCTGTCAGTCACCACCACCACCATCCCTTCCCCTCCAGGCAGCGGCACACCTGTCTGTACCCAAACCGGTGGAATTCCTGCCCTGCTCACAACCTTCCACCACGCACAGGAGAAACAGTCCCAGCTCTGCCTCCATCCTCTGACCCTGCCTCTGCCTGTCATCACTGCGCAGCTCCTAACTCGCTTTCAAGGCTGGGCACAACAGATGCTGCCTCTTCTTAGGACTCCACAGGCCTCCCGGAGGCCAAATTAGACTCCCCACTGGCGCCCGCCAGCCTGCAGGGAGGGCAGACAGCACTAGATTCCTGGGGCCTGGGGGAGGCCAGAGGGGCCAATGGGCAGAAGCCCTGCACCCTCCTCTGCAGTCAGGCCCTGAGCGCCTGGGAACACCCAGGGCCACTGCGAGGGGAGAGGAGGAGGGGTCCAGGGGTCCTGAGCTTTGCCCTAAGTGTCTCAGCCTGGCCCCTGAATGGGGCTGTCTGCCCAGCAACTGGTTGGGACTGACGCTGACCTATGTAGCCTGGACTCATCCCTGGGCCCAGGTCCAGGATGACAGAAGTGGGGTTCGCAGGTGCAAGGATGAGGCGCCAGCCCTGGGTGGGGCTCCAGGGAGGTCCCTGAGGCTGGACAACTGCCCTGGGCAGTCAGGACACAGGGAAGGAAGGGGAGAAGCTGGGGCTTCGCTGGGGTGGGGGGCGGTGCCTCAGCCCAGGCCGGTACACCATTGAGCCCTGGGGAAGGTCTGAGGGGCCCACCAAGGTCAGGACCTCCTCTCCCCGGCTGTCCTCGGCCCCACAACCGCCCTGGCGCGCGTTGAGCCGGCCCCATACCCGCCGTGGCGCGCGTTGAGCCGCTCCATGTACTGAGCCGTCACGTCCACAGCCTCCGCCTCCGGCAGCTGAAGGTTCCCCGAAACGTTGCACCGCAGGTCGTTCCAGTCCGAGCGCAGCAGCTCGAAGTCCACGGCGCCCACGCTGAACGTGCGCTGCCAGTCGATGGCGTCCTCACGCCAGCGTCCGAGCGCCGGGCCCGCGGCCTCCTCGCTGTCCTCCGACGCAGCCTCGTCGCCCGGGGCCCCATCGTCCTCCCCTTCCTCCTCCTCTTCGCCCTCCCCGGGCAGCTGTGGCCCGGACACCTGGGACAAGCTCAGGAAGGAGGTCACGGGCCGCGCTTCGGAGGACAAGTTTGAGTCCACTGTGGGCACCGCAGGTCCCAGCGTGCGCGCCTGGCCCTCCTGGCCCCCTTGGGTGGCCTGCGCCCTGGCTGGGGGCCTCGGCTGTGTGGCCTGGGGGCCGCCGGTCCTGCGGCCGTGGGGCCGGGGTGGGCGTGGGGGCGCCCGCAGCTGCACCCTGGGCAGAGGCCTGGGGTGCAGGAAGACGCCGGGAAAGGGCGGCCAGGGCGCGCGCGGCGCTGGGGCCCGGGGGGATGCCCGCTGTCCCGGCCGCACCCTGGTCACGTACACCTTCGGGGGCTGCTGCTCCGCTGCAGGGCGCGGGGGCGGAGCTCGGCCCAAGAAGAGCGGCAAGGGGCGGGCGGCCCGGGAGGCCCAGCTCAGGGCCCGGGAGTGCCTGGGGGCCCCCTCGTCCCGGGGGCGGGGAGGGGTTGGCGGAGCAGGGGTGGCTCCGGGCTCCGCGTGGACCGCTGGGGCGGGGGACGGGGGGCCGCTCCTGGACGGGGCCGCCTCCGTGGGCTCCAGGCTGTCGAGCAGCTCCCCCTCGTCCTCGTCGTCCAGGAAGTCTGCGGGAAACGCGGGTCAGAAGCTCCCTGCGCGGGTGGGTAAGGGCTGGGGGCGCTGCGGACACTCACCGTCCGGGTTGAGGAAGAGGAAGGCTCGGCGCTGCACCTCCTCTTCTTCATCCTCGTCCCCCTCCTCCTTGTCCATCTTCATGTACTTATAGAACCCAAACCTGGGGCGGAGCGGACGCATCAGAGCCGAGTCCCGCTTGCCCGCCCCGCCCCGCATTTTCCAGCCCGGCTGCGAGCCCACCTCTCCAGGTAGAGCGGAGACTCGCGGTAGAAGCACTTGTTGTCCGTCTCCATGTGGGTGAGGCGGGTGTAGTCGTTGGGATAAACGAAGGACAGGTACACCTGGGGGCGGGGAGTAGGCGGGCTCAGGGCGGGGACCTCCCGGGGCGGCCTCCCAAGGGGCTGGAGAAGGCTCCGCGGAGTCCCGGACGGGAGACCAGGTCTCCACCCGCACTCACAAATTGCAGTCCCTGGTATCTGGCGATGGGGAAGTCCTTGACCACGTAGGTGGGGGCGTAGGCACAGGGCTCCAGCACGTTCTCCAGGCTCGAAGATTCCATGCGCGGAGCTGCAGGAGGTGCGGTCATGGGGCGGCTGGGGCAGGCACCCCCGCCCTCGCCCCCGCGCGGGCCCCCTCTCACTGAGGAAAAAGGTATCCCTGGGATCTGGCCGCAGCATGTCTGCGCTGGTGTCCTCCTGCGGCAGACGCCCCCCCACGTGGCTGGCTGGAGACTGGGGGACGTGGGCCACGTGGTCCATCTTCAGGGCTGACTCATCTGGGGGAAGAGGGGTTCCAGGGTGTGCTCAGACTCCTCCATTCCTCCCGCTCACACCCAGAGCCCATCCCAAGGAGCCCCACATCCCCAGCGGCGCCCGCGCACCTGTGTACAGGGAGATGTGAGCAGAGCTGATGACCTCGAACTTCAGGCCGGGCAGGAAAGCTCGCCACTGCAGGGCAGAGAGGGTGGGCGTCAGGGGCAGGGCCGTGGCTGGGTCCAGGGAAGAAAGGGTCTACCCCGGCTCAGGGCCGGGGGACTAGTAGGACCAATCCCTTAAAGGATGCAGGAGGGGAGATGGTAGAGGGGTCCGGGGGTTCCAACAAGGGGCAGCAGGGAAGCTGGGGAAGGAAGCCCAGAAAGCTGAGGGGCCCTGGGAGCAGGGCCAGACCTCCCCATACTCCCTTCCTCACCTTTCCTACCTGAGGCCCCCCTCCTTTCATCCCTCCCTCCCTCCCTCCCTGAGGCCCCCCTCCCCTCCTCCCTCCCTCCCTGAGGTCTGCCCCCCTGCCCGCCTCAGGTTATGACTTCCAACCCTGCCCATTCCCAGTGAGGTCACTGCTGGCCCCCTAAGGGCCAGGCTGGATTCCCTCTCCACTCTACACCCACCACCAAGCTGAGGCTCCAGGGTCCTTCTGTTCCCACCTCATCCTGGGGCCTCCACAGACCACCTCAAACCCCTGTCTCCAGCCTGGGCCCTCTGCCCAGCTGAGCTGGGGTGAAACGCGCCCTCCACACACCAGACACAGGCACCACGGAGCAGCCCACAACACCCACCAGGCTCCAGGCCCTCTGCCTTGCTGTGTAGCCCCTTTCCGCTTCCCCCATCCATCCCCACAGCCACCTCCCTGGGTTCGAGGACCAAAGGCCACAGTAAAAACCCTTCCCCCAGGCTCTCTCCACTCTGTGGCCAGGGGTTTTTTCCTGGAATGCAAATCCCATGGCCTCATTCTCAGGACAAAGCCCTATCTGTGCAGAGTGGTGCTCAGGCTCCGCCTGATCTGGCCACCAGAGCCTTCCCAGTCTCAAGACCCACTTCCTCTGCTGGGTCTGTTCCTTCGCTGCTCTCGTGGTCTAGAATTCACCCACCATACGCCCCACCCCAAATTATCTGTCCCCCACATCTCCCTACTGAATGTCTCCATTCTCTCAAGACTCTACTCAAAGGTGACTCCTAGTGAGGCCTCACCGAGCCCCCCAAGAGGGCAGAGCAGACCCTCCTGACCTCAGGCCCAGGGCCCTGACCAACTGCTTTGTCAGCTTTGGGACGGGGACTCCACTGCAGTTGTCCTGAAGGGAGGCAGCGGAAGTGGAGTCTCCAGAAACTCCCGGGGGCGGGGGGCACTCACGCCCACTTCCACGTGGTCCGAGCCGCGGTCGTCCTGCTTGTGCAGCAACTCAAAGTAGTACCTCCGGGAGGCCATGAGCCTGGGGACACAAGGAGCAAGGGTTGGGCCCCGCCATGCACAGTGGAGCCAGGGAAGGGGGCAGGTGGTGCCCACACCCCTCAGGGCTGGCCCTCAGGAGGATGGCAGCTGGGCTGGGCGGATGCTTGTGCAGAGTGTGTGCAATCGTGCACCGGGTAAGGAAACACCACGTAGCCCCCTCCCACGAATACACAAGTGCATGCACATGCACCCCACAGTCACTCACCGCCTGGGCTTGGACACCTGGGAGCTGAACTTGGTGAATTCTCCAGGCGCTGTCCACTCGGAACCAGTCTGGGGGGTGATAGGGGAGGGGCGGCGGGGGGGGGTTCACTCTCTCCCTGGGGACACCAAACCCATCAGGTCCTCATTCCCAAGAGGCTGGTGGGGACAGGTGACTGAGCTGCAGGAGGCCTGGGAAGACACCAGGGGTGGGGTGGGGGTACCTTGCCCACAAAGGCCACAAGCTGAGCAGCAGCGGGGCTTTCGTCCGGACTCAGCCAGAACTCCGAGTTGTCGTCTGAGGCCACAGAAAACTGGACATCTCCTAGTCCACAAGACTAGGCTCAGGGGGGGTGCAGCCTCACGACACCCCTCCCCCAGGGCACCCTCACCCCCGTACCATCCCTCGCTGGGTGGATGAAACCAAAAATACGGAGTCCATAGTTCTTCCACTTGGGGGACACGGCCAACTTCTTCACGGTGGTGCGAGTCTGAGGGGGCAGTGACTGTTGCTGTCGAAGCCCCCTGCGTGCCCTGCCCGCCCTGCACCCCCCCCCCCAACCCCGGCACTCACATGAGGGAACAGCGGGAAGTGCAGGTTCCTCCTCAGGTGGCCCACGGCGCCCCCACACCAGTCCTCAAACACGTGCAGGTTCACCTGCCCCTTGTACTGGGGATCGGGGGGCCTTACCTTCTGCACGGCCCGCCGCCCCCCAGCCCCGCCCTGCCTCCCAGCCCCTTACAGGCTGAGCCAGCTCACCTCCTCCCGCCATGGGGGTGTCTGATGGGTGAAGTTCAGTGGCAGCTTCCCAGCCCCTGCAGGAAACAGCATATCTAGATCCTGACCTTCGGGCTGCAGGAGAGAAAAGGCAGCGGGGTCAGGGCTGGAAGGGCAGGGAGGAGGTCACAAACAGCAAGACAGACCTTCACAAAGACCCCTTCCAACATGGAGCCACACAGGCCTAAATGCCTGCGAGCCCACAGCCGCACAAACCCTGACCCATGGCCCCGGCACGTACACTCAGACCCCCTGGTCACTCTCACCCAAGCAGATGCCCGGCCACCCCACATACTGACCGGCTGGTGCATTCATGCACCTGCTGCAGCCCCCAGACACAGAGCTCCAGACAGGATGCCTGGTGCTGCAGCTCACACTGACAAGCCATGCCGTGCTCCCCACCCACATGTCCTGTGTCTCATGCCCCCCTGCTGTGTCCTCCAGAAGGGACAGGTTCTCAAGACACCAATGCTCAAGTGGCTTCAGGGCTTTGGGGTCTCGTCTCGTGCACACGCGTTCTCCCCAAGGCCTTGCTCACCATCTGCTCCTCTTCACGGCTCTCACTGGAGTCCTCAGCCCTCTGTGTGGATGGCGCAGCATGGACCCCCCGGCCGTCGGTCACACTGGTCAGCTTCTCACCATCTGCAGGTGGCACGTGAGGCCTGTCTCGGGCCCAGGCGCTCTCCAAGGCCATTCTGCCTGCTGCTGGGGTCAGCCAGGCTGGGGACCCACATGGCCAGAGCAGGGCAAGGAGGCTGTGGTGTCTCTCACTAAAGCCAAACCTCTCCTTCTCATCTGCGTCCTCTACCACCAGATGCCCCACCCCACAGCGAGGCAACTTCTTCCACACCCCACCTCTGGTGGGGCAGCCCGGGCTGAGCCTTCCAGCAGGCTGTTCCCAACCTCCAGCAGGTGTGAGGGAGGAAAGCTGGGTGCGCCAGCTGGTGTGTGTAGGCACCCACATGCACCCCCATCTGGCCATTCTTGTTAAGTGGCTCTGCCTCCAGGAAGACCCCAGGACTGCCCTGTGCCCTCAGCACTTTCTCTGTGTGCTGGTGTGTTCCATGTCTGCCTCCCTTACCAGAACTGAGAACTCAGGGTTAGTGCCAGGGACTGTAGTCAGGAAAGCCGGCACTGCCTCTCCTGAAGGATTTGAGCTCTCAAAGTCTGGACTGAGGGACAGGCATGGATGCGCAAGCCCAGGCGTGGCCCTGGAGCAGAGGGTGGCCCTGGATTGAGTGTCCCTGGGTAGGAGGACCAGGAGGGGCAGAAATGGGGTGAAGTGAAGCATCCCTTCAGATGCTCAGGTCCCAGGCCGTGGAAACCCCTGGGGCCGCAGTCGGGATGTCTAGGTCCTCAGCTTAGGGAGGTCCAGGAAGTGGAGAGGGCTGGGGCGCAGAGCTGGCCTGCCCAGGCTTGTGGGGAGGCAGTAGAGATGTCCACAGGCAGACCTGGGAAGGGTCCTCGGGGGACTCCCCCGACTTTGGCCCGAGCTCCCCCGACAGAACAGTCTGCTCACTCCCCATCTCCCTGGGCAGCTGTTGAGTTCCTCTTGTCCTGGCCCTGGCCTCAAAGGTAGCAAGTAGTACAGGTGCCCTGGGGCAGAGCTCGCTTAGCCTCAAGGGGTCCTTGGAAGGGGGATTCCTATGCATCCGCCCCCTCCAGGTTGGGCTTAGATCCCTCCGCTGCTCCGAAAACTACAGAGGCTCCTGCGGAGGGGGCTGGTTCTGTTCTGTGTCATTGGGGCAGCTGTGGATCCTGCCCTGTCTGCTAAGAGCTGGGGTGGAGCTTCTTTTAGAGATTCAGCAGTATCTGGGGTCTCTTGAGGGGGTGGCAGCTGCGAGGTATGTGGGTTGGGACAAGCCCCAGACCGTTGGCCTGTGTGGGTCCCGGCCTCCCAGCGCACGAAGAGAAGACAGAGGAGCTTTGGCAGGTGGAGTGGCCCAGGTGTCCCCCGCCAGTATCATTGTTCTGCCCCCTCAGGACACCCTGCTCCCTGGAGAAGGCTCAGAGGCAGCCAGCTGGGGTCTCTCCTGGTCTGGGCATGGCACTAACCTCCCTGCTCCTGAGGAGGGGGCATTTTGTCCCTCCTTCTCCCCCCACCCCCCAGGCTTTCATCTGCGCCTTTCTGTCTGGAATGCTCTTTGCACAAAAGGTGTGTGTCAAAGATCACCATCTCCAGGGGGCCCTACCCCGGCTGGCTCACCGTGACCCGATCTGCTTTGTTTGTGGGTTGGGGTCGGGAGAGTTTACGCCAGGCTTTGCAAGCTGGGCCCCATCCCCACGCACCGACCCCCACAACACTGGCACAGTTCACCGAGGGCGCCCCCGCCGGGAAGCGTCCCAGCTGCACCGGCCACTTCGCCAAGCCCGGGCCCGGGTCCCCAGCACACGGGGAAACTGAGGCCCTGCTAAGCGGGCAGGGGATGGAGGCGAGGCCTGAGAAGGCCTCTCGGAAGGCTCAGCAGGGTCTGGGGCAGAGAATCCCCCGGGAGCCCACCGTCAGCCGCTCACTACCAGATCCAGGCCAGGGTCCCTCCCAGAGAGGGTCGCGCGCGTCACTGCCGACGTCATCCAGTGTCCGGGCCGAGCCGAACCGCGCCCCCTCCTCACAAATCGCAGGGCGGGGAACAGCGGGCGGGGTCTCCGGGCGGGTCGGGCCCAGCAGAGACCCCCGTGCGGTGGGAGGCTCGGCCCGCGCCCCGGGGCCCCCGCCGCCCGCGCCCCTCGCGCCGTACCTCGCCCGTAGCCCAGGCGCTGGCGCAGCGCTCGGCCCTGGCGCACCAGGCCCAGGTGCACGTAGGTGAGCCACGCGGCGCAGCTCAGCAGTAGCAGCAGCAGCAGCAGCTTCATCTGTTTGCGGATCTTCTTCACCGGGAGGCCGGCGGCAAACGCGCGCCGAACAGACCCAGGGCCGCGTCAGCGGCGCGCTGCAGCCCGCGCCCCCGCCCGCCCCGCGCCGCATCCCCCGGCCGCCCCGTCCGCGCTCAGCGCCCCGCCCGCATTCCTTTTTCCCCCCTCCACCGGGTGCCGGCACCCCCAGGCCGCCCCTCGGCGCGGGCCGGGGAGTTGCGGCGGGGCGGCTCCTCGCCGGTTGCCCCCCCGGCCGGCTGTCCCGGCTCCGCGTCCTGGCGGGCGCGGGACCGAGCAGGCATCCACGCCGCGGAGGCTGCCACCGCGGATCAGGCCCCGGCCGCGCGCGCGGAACCCAATCGGGCCGGCAGGCCGCGAGAGCCAATGGCGGCCGAGCTGGGGCGGGGTAGGGCGCGAGCGGGCGCGCGGGTGCGGGGCGGGTTGCGGGGCCGCGGGTGTGGGGCGGCAGGGATGCGGGGGGGCAGGGATGCGCAGGCTGCGGCAGGATGGTGCGGCGGCAGGGATGGCGTTGCGGGGCGCACGTCCACCTGGGCCACGGAGCTCGGCTCGGGGACCGTGGGGGGGGCGGCGGGGAATGGGCACAGCCCGACTAGGAGCCGGGGCAGCCTCCTGCGAACAGTGACCCGAAGGACTGGAGCCAGACAACAAGGAGGGAAGGGAGGGACCCGGGGAGCTGGGGGGCGGGGAATGAGGGTGGGGATGGGGGCGGCCGAGAGAGGCGGGAGGAGGGTGGGCAAGCACCGACTTCAGCCCAGGGGTGGCAGTCGCTGCGGGATCTCGCCTGTCTGGGCGGCAGGAGCGGGCCCAACTGGTGGCCCTCGCCCCATCTAGCGCGGCCTGAGACAGGTGACCGTGCCATGCCTCTCACCGGGACCTTGTACCCCTTTGTGCCCTTTCTCGCCTGGTCTGCACCAACCCCCGCCAATCCCTTTGTCCCCCAAGTACTTCCCTTGTCCAGCTGCCAGCTTGACCCTACTCTTCTCCCTCTGTTCAGCTGTCTCTGGGTGTGTAACAAACCACCCAACCTCAGTGCTGTCCAACTACAGCATTCCTGTGGTCCGCAGAGGGGCAGACCTGTTTGGGACACTTGATGGGTCCACAGCCGGATGGTGTCCTCTGTGGGTCAGGAACTCTGGGCACTGGGGAACAGCTCCTCTCTGCTTCTTTAGGTGCTGGCCTCCCGTGGGAAGACGTGAGTGGTGGGGCCGGCTCTGCGGGACAGGCTGGAGCCATCCAGAGGCTTCTGCCCTGAGCGGGTGCACCCTCGGCATGAATGGCTGGGCTCACCTTGAGTGGTTGGCCAGGGCACCTGCACGCCCAGCTCCCGGGGCAGCCTGCCGGTCCAGCACACAGAGTGAAGCCTCTTGGAATCACCTGCCAGGTTGCCACATGCCGCCATGGCCACCCAAGTTTGTGGGTTGTGGGGACGTGGACCCCACCTCACAATGGAAGATTGCCCAGAAGTTGCCTTCATCCCTCCTTCCCCTCCCTCCCGTAACTTCCAAGTAAGAAGCAAGCTGGTTGCATCCTGCTGTTCATAGCAGCCCTTAAACAACACCCAATCTCTCAAACCTTCCCCCACCCCATCAGCTCCTCCTCTCCTACCTCCCACAGTCCACTTTCCATATTTCTGTTATCTGCATATTCATTAAAATATAGTGCCCCACCCCTTTTTGAGACAGGGTCTCACTGTGTCTCTGAGGCTAGAGTGCAGTGGTGCAATCTCAGCTCACAGCAGCCTTGACCTCCTGGGCTCAAGCGATCCTCCCACTTCAGCTTCTTGAAGAGCTGGGACTGCAGTCAGGCGTCACCATGCCGGGCTAATTTTTTGTATTTTTTTAATAGACTCAGGGTCTCACCATGTGGCCCAGGCTGGCATCGAACTCCTGGGTTCAAGTGATCCTCCCGCCTTGGCCTCCCAAAGTGCTGGGATTCTAGGCGTGAGCCACTGTGCCCGGCCAATAGTGCTCTTTTATGTATCATTCTGTTTCTCCAAGGCCTCCATAATTTTTATGTGTGTCTGTCTTGCTGTGCATCTAATGCTTTCCGTCTTTTCACTGCATGGCACCCCATCCTAGGCACATTCATCCAGCCAGTGGACGTTACCTAATATTCTAGTGTCCTGACGAGCTGGGACTTATGGGACACAGCAGTGAGCAAGACAGAAAGGGGCCCCCTTTCGTGGAGTTTACATGTTACTAGGCAGGGACAAACCAGTGAACACATAGTAACTTTGCTGATGGTGAGTGACGTGAAGAAGATGAGATGGGGGATGGAGGGAGGCTGGCTTCAGCTCCACAGTCTCTCTCTGGGGAGGCAACGGCTGGCCTGATCCATAAACAGGGTTCCTAGAAGGCAAGTGTTGGCAATGTTGGGAGAGACGCGTTCGGGACGCTTGATGGGTCCACAGCCAGATGGTGTCCTCTGTGGATCCAATTGAGGGACCGGCTCAATTGTGCAATTGAGGGGCAGGCTGGGATCTGCCGGACGCAGATGCTCCATATGCTACCACATCCATCTCGGCCCCTTCCAGAGAAGAATGGCCACTGCCTCACTTCTGTGTGACCCAACCAAAGAGGCAAAGGTTCTGGGAAACGGGTCTCCAGCTTGGAATAAGAGGACAACCTGGCAGGACCCTCCTCTTGACAACTCAGCACACACGCACGCGTCTCTTAAAAACCACATTTAACTTCCGAATAAAGCAAAAAACAAATTCCTGCTTCTACGTAATATGATGCAAATATTCCAACCAGAAGGGACTGAACAAAAGGTTCGTGTCATTTTATCCACATTTCAGAAGATGATCCTTGTTCTTCCACTCAGTTTCTCTAAGAGCATTTAACACTTGACACTCCAAAGAGCATGTTCGGGGGTTGGATGACACAAATACTGATATGAAATGTGAAGTTAACTATTGTTAACACATTTTATGCAGATAACAGGGCAACGGAAGAGGAGAAAAGCAGGAAGAATGATTGGATAATGTTAGTACAAATATGACTTGTGTGAGGATAAGAGGTACTCACTTCTACAGTCACGTGGTCGTGGCTGGTGCCGTCTTTATGGCCACGCTCTTCCGTCACTCCTGTGTGGGCCCTTTGCCCTCTGCAAGCACCACTGCTGGCCATGGTTCATTGCCTGGTGGGGTGACCCAAACGTTCCTTCCCAAAAGGCCTATGCCGTTAGCACTTTTGCCTTATGGGGTGGTTCTGGTTTTCCAGTGGCGTTTTATAGAAGGCTTAGGGGAGCTACGCGATATTACAGATGATCTCCTGCCCCCCAAATTTCTCCTCCTTAGCCCCGTTCTGTAATCGGGTTCCAGGTTCCCCTTGTTGGGGTCAGTCAGCCCGGCCAGCACAGGGACCCTCTTCTTTGTCGACCCCCCGGTGTGAGGAACCCGTGTCCAGGTGGGCAGTCTCAGCTTCCTGCGTAACGTGTCCCCTGGTGGAAGCACTCCAGAGCTTTCCCAGGACCAGGGGGATTCCTAGGACATGGGACTTTCCGTTTTAAACCTGGCAAAGTCTTAAGTCAACTGGAATGAGTTGGTCCCTGGGAATCTGAGGCCTCTAGACCAACAGCGGGCGACACTGCAGGGGGCAAAACTTTCATGTGTGGCTCACTGGAGGTTAACGACAATGGGAAAACATTGTGGTTTCCACTCCTCCACACCTGGACCAGTGAGCCCCAGCTTTGGGAAAAGCCAGAGATCAGGTGCTGAATCAGTGGGTCCGCTACATCGGGAGGACCCCGAATCCACAGCATTGCCACTCAGCTGGTGCCAAAACAGCCTCCCAAAGGCCATTCCGTGAGGAACACGGCGAGATCCGTGGGTTCCAGGAGCACCGACCCATTGCTGTCCCCAGGACAATGGCAGCGCCGCCGTGTGGAGCACCCCGTGGGTGGCTGAGGCGCCTCGAATGTGCGGGGTGGTGGTTTGGGCAGAGGCATTGAGGGCACTGAGCATTCCACAGCTGGGGTGGGAGCCCTTCCTGCTGGGCCAAGCGTCCTCCATGGTGGAGGAAGGGGCCAGTGTTGGTCTCTGCTGTTGGCTGCGGGGCACGCAGGGTAATCCGCTTCCCACTGCCACAGCCACTTGGCCCTGACTCGGGACAAGGGGAGCTGAGGAAAGAGGCTGGCTTATGTGCACGAATGGGTCATTTTGTCCATCTGACTGTTAGGGTCCTCCTCTGCTGAGGCAGGTCTTTGCACACAAATTCTTCACACTCTGCCCACCCAGGAGGTCTGTCTACACACCGTCACCCAGACCTTTTCATCTCTGACTTTGTAGTCGTACCCCTCCAAGTGCCTGGCGGTCAGCTAGACGGTCGGCCATGGTGGGGGGTCCACGGAGCTCTGCCTCCTCCTTCATCCTGCTTGCTGCTCTGCCCGGCGAGGACCTGCCTCTGCGTCTGTCGTGCAGGCCTGGCCTCCCACACCCAGGTGGTGCTGCCGTGCTGGGGTGCCCACTTCGGGGTGGTGCCAGCTTATTATGCAGAGACATCTGTGACCAGGGCTGCATTTGTGCTTTGTTAGTCATCCAGTCCCAGGGAACTCCTCACGACCCAGTGGTGTATTTCAGAGAGATGAGGCGGAGTGAGGGGAGCTGCCTGTTCACGCCTGTTCAGGACCTCGGGCCCCCCAGGACCTGTTTGAGCTGATCAGGCATAGACCACTTCTGTCAGTGGCATCTGCTGTGCACACCCAGCCCTGAGGCTGGTGGGTCCGACCACCCCCAGGGCACGACGGCAGCCCAGGCGTTAGAATGTGGCCCTTGGGGCTGGGCACGGCGG